CCCTCACACACACACCCTACTGTCCCACTTCAGTTATATGTAATTTTCATTAGGTCGATATTAGATTATAATTGCAATATTATCACTCTGTAAATGCTATTCCCAGCTAGGCCACGTACTATACCGTGGTTCGTATCCCTTTCTCATACTCCTTTTCATTTTTCCTGGAATTGTAAAAGTCCCATGTGTTTGCTTAGTTTTCAGCCTGTTTATTTTTCACTGTCTTCCTCCATGTGTCTGTCTGGACTCCTGCCCTTTCCTACAGGTTTTCTGTAAGTGTCCGGTGACCCTGCACTGCCTGCTCACATTTAATAACGAGGCAACAAGCCGCTGACAGGGAGCTGTGCGCACCTGGAGCTGCTGACGGCGGTGTCAGTACAAGCAGCCCCACTGGGCCGTTTCATTGGGCAAATTTTGTCCTTGTTTCTGTTCCCCCAGAAGCAGACTCCGAAATAAGAAATACTGGTACTGGAACAGCGGGACAAGGAAAGGCAGCCTTCCAACAACAGAGGCACAGTCAAGCCAGTTATCACTGTGGGTGCCTGGAGCTTAACCCCACAGGGAGACTCTGGGCACTAAAGTGACCACACGCCTCAGAATCATCCCACCCAAGGAGGGGGTAGCTGGGGTACCCCTTCTGTTGGCCATTGGTTGGGGCTCCTACAGCAAGAGGGGAGGGGAGCAGGGCTTATTAGTCCCCTGCATGTTCAGTCCCAAAGGATCGCAGATGGGGTCACGCCCTTGAAGGGGCTGGGGCTGGAGCGTAAGCTCTGCCAGGCAAGTGTCTCTAGGTGGTTTTTGTCAAACTACCTGGATATAAAAAATCTGCTTTGATTGTAACACTTCCACTATATCTACATGGCTCCTGTACTCCCTTTCGTATTGGGGGTTAACTAGATTAGATAAATACCTTTTATATATGATAGATGATTTTATGTAAATAATCCAAGAAATAAAGTCCAAACAGGAAAGAAATTCTAAAAATGTATCCACTGCCCTTTCTGATAGCCTGAAACTTAATCTTAGACATTTTACTTAACACAACCAAGCTTAATGTTGACCCCATAAATTTCATGAATTTTGCCCAAAGGAAAAGCTTAACTGATAAATATTTCTTTTGAAAGCAATGTCTTGACTACGTCTGGACCCACCCAATCACACTTTTAATAGGAGCATGAATCCAGGCACTACTTGCATGGACGGAGCAGGCATCTGTAACCAAAATTCATGCTTTCCTATTATCTCCACACTTGGGGTTTGTGCAGGTATTTGTTGTTGTTGTTGTTGTTGTATTGCTGTATGCTTTATCAGACATATAGCTCCTCAAAAACCGGACAGAAAAATCTCTGTTATCACCACAACAAAGTAAGACCCATAAAAATCAGTGGGATCACTTTATAATCACTCAAGTCAATTTCTCTGGTATTCAAAGCCATCTTGACATCATAATGTTGCATGGGTCAGGTCGATGCAAATCCGATAAAAACAAAGGAACTGCATTAACCTCTGGTCTCTGGTTTCAATTAAGACCAAAGTGAAAAATGGTCGGAAGTCACCGTCCCCATGAGCTCCCAGTCTGCACTGTGGGCTGCATCTCTCCAGCAGCTGAAACTCACCTCAGGAGCCAGAAGACTTGGTGGCCACCCCTCCAGCCACAAATGCAGACGGGATGCATTTGTTCATAACCCCTGAAGCACCTGACCAGGGTCGGGCTTTAAGTTCCATGGAGCTTCACACCACAAAGTGTCCTGGACACACACAGAGGCACTGCCTGTGCCATGCCGGCCATACCAGCCACACTGGCCACGCCAGCCGGGACAGGTCTCCGGGGGCGGCCCGGCTCTGGGTGAGCTCCGCAAACGCCCCCCAATAAAACCCCATCCCTCTCCTTCCCTCCCCAGATGCTGTGAGAAATGCCCTGGGTCTGGGATATTACTCCCTTTGTGAGTAAAAGCTGAGCAAGCAGTCCAACTGGATTTCCTCCAAACTGCCCTTGTGTCCTGCTCCAGCCTCTGCTGACCCAAAGGTGCATCATCATGAGGGGTGCTCTCTGCATCCACTGAGATACAGGGAATCAAAAGGGAAAGCAGGAAACTTTCCATGGGGACGGGTGTGCAGCTGGCAGCAACCATCCTAAGCGGCCTGAGGGTTCTTGGGACTCGTGAGGTTCTGACGGTTGTTCAGAAACAAGGACCAAAGACAGGCAGAGCCAGGCTCCTTCCCGGTGCGGCAGAGGAAGGTGAGAGACCTGCGACTTATGCCTCCTTTGTTGTTTCCACTCTGCTGCTTCCCCTCCTTCTACAGTGACAAGCCTTTAAACCCTCCACAGAGGAGAAAGTAAGCCAGGAGCTCATTTCC